GGGGGGGGGGGGGGGGCGGGGAGGGGAGAATCCCAGCTATTTGGTCACCAGTAGGCTGAGTCACAGGCTGGTGCTGGCAGAGGCTGATGGCCTGTCCCATGTATGGGTGGACACTCCAGCTGAACACATGTAAGGCTAAGGGGGCTGACGCACCCTTATCGTTTCTCGTCTGGCCTGGGGCATGCGGCACATGTCCACCGGTACGGGGACTGCCTCCTTCTCCTCAGGACTGCCTGAATGTTGTCTAGGACCCCCATGTTGTCTAGCGCCAGGCTGGTTTACCCTTGGCCCAGCACCAGACCGGGAAGTCACTCCGGACCGCGGAACCCCGCATCTCTGGCACCCCCCAGTGGCCAAGGGGAGCAAACACAGAGAAGGCCGTCTAGGTCCAACCCCTCCTTAGAAGTCAGCCAGCAGCAGAGCGCACGCGCCGCAGCCTCTGGCCGGAAGTGCCGGGTAGAAGCTGGCTTCCTACTAGAGCTCGAGAAAGGACCCTATAGGCTCTTTAGGGGCGTGGCCACAGCGTCTATCCTATGAGCGCCTGGGGGCGTGACAGAGCCTGCTGAAGGACCCAATGGAGCGGCGGGAGGCGGGGCCCGCTGGGCAGTGGAAGCCTATCCCGGCCAGGGGACTTGTGGTGCGGCAGGGGTTTAGCTGCCACGTGAGTTCTTTAGCGGCTGGTGCTACGCAGACGGTGGCAGCATGTTGGCAACGGCAGCAACTCATAAGCGGGTCAAGCCGGCCTCAGGGGCCGGGGCTGGTGCAGGAGCCGGCAAGCGGCGGCGAAAGGTGAGCATGGCGCTTCCACGGGCCGCGGTCGGTCCTGCTACTGGGACAACAGTCATTCCAACAGTGGGAACCGTGCCCGGGCCTCTCTCCATCCCTTCGCCCGGGACCCCAGCCGGAGTCAGCTTCGTCCCTCCTGGAAAGCCTGGCGCTTTACTCGGGAGCCACCGACTTTCCCAGTCCTGGGGCTCTCGAGGGACCGGAGGGGCCCTAGGTCAGGCTGGGGTAGTCGGGACGTCAGACCAAAGAAAGGACCATATAATCCCCAGGACGACTCTGCGGGGGACAGGGGCAAGTCCAAAGGTGGCGGCAAGATGAATGAGGAAATCTCCAGCGATTCTGAGAGCGAGAGGTGAGCTGTTCTTTTCCACCTAGTGTAAGAGAAAACAGGCCCACGGTGTCCGGAAGACTCAGTGAATCAGTGCAGAGCTCGGCCTAGAACTCAAGACTCTGGCCCTTGGCTCTCAGATCGTGGCTGTTTCCTCCAATATCTGGCCCTGAGAAGTCTCATCTCCTCTATGGAGTCTGTGTAGGGAGGACCCCAGGGCCAGTGGGAGACCATTGAGACTTCCCTGGTTCATGGCAGGGAGGAAAGCACGGGGACCGGCAGGCGAGGGGAGAGGGATGCAAGAAATGCTCCCTAGTTCTTCATTCTGTTTCCCCCCAATTTCCCATTTACTGGTCCCTCCCCACCCGACTTTTTCTTTGGTGGCTGGCAGGTACCGGCATCCAAACCCTTGACCTTGGTGTTACCAACACCATGCTCTAACCACATGAGCCAGCTCCTCTGCCGACTCTTAGCTTGCCAGGCACCGGCTTCACTGTTGGGAGTACAGAGATGAGCAGGCTGGTGAAGAGAGAATGTGTTGTAGGGGGATATGTGTTCTGGGAACGGAGGAGGGACATTTAAATAGGGCCTGGAGAGATGAGGGTCTCTGGTGGAGAGGTAGGGAAGGCATTCAGGGATCAGAGAAAAGTCTGGGATGTAAGTGTGCCAAAATGGGAGGTGGAAAAGATGGAAGGGCAGGTGGTGGCTGTATCCATATTGTGGAGGGCTTTGAATGCCACCCTCGGTTCTTCAGGTGATGGGGGTGGTTGCCAGGTTTCAAAGGGTTGGGCAAGGTGTCAGGCCTGAGCCTGAGGGATGATGGAGGCTCTCATGCTAGGAGTTCTAGTGCCTTCCTTATGAGTTAGCTTTAGAAATCCTTCTTCTAAGATTGAGTATGTGTTCCCTTACTTGCTCACAGAAAGACTTAATATACTTTTCTTAATCCTAAGGTTATTGTGGGTTGGTGTGTGCCAGGCCCTGTGCTAAGCACTTTTAAATATTTTTACAATGTTGTGTTGTGATGTATTAAATACAAAAAAGTGATAAATTGGTGAACCTCTGTGCACCTACCATTTCGATTATGAACTAGAACATTTGCAGAAACTTTGAAGCCCCTACTGTCATTCCTGACTCAAATTAATAATTTCTTTGGTTTTCTTTATTTCTTCATCTTCTTCAAATTAAAAAAAAAAGTTTTCATTCAGGTGTAATTTACATACAGTAACTCACCTTTTTCAGTGTGCAGTTCTGTGAGTTTTGACAAATGCACACAGTCATGTAACTACCACCACCATGAAGATATAAAAGGGTTTCATCACCCTCCAAAATTACCCCCTGCTCCTTACAGTCAGCCCCTCCCCCTCTCCCAGTCCCTGCTAACCACTGTGCCTAGAGTCCTGCCTTTTTCAGAATGCTGTATGCATGGAATTATACAGTGTTTGCTTCCCTTGCTTTTATTTAGAGTTCTGCTTCCTATGTGTAAATCCTTTCACAGGAGATTGATTAGTTTGGGTAAACTTAAGTTGAAGTGTTAACCTTGGTTGTGTAAGGGAGGGGCAGCATCAGCCCTATTGGCCAAAGGCTTGCCTGGCATGGGGCACTCGATGCTCTCTGAGGAATGGTCTGGCCTTGGCTTTCCTGAGAGTTTTCAAGGTCCCTTCTGGGAAAGTTGTGGGCAAGGTTATGGGTGAGTCCTGGAAAACACAGTTGGAGCAACTGGCAGAGACTAGGTATCTGCAGGCCCATGATGCGAGTGAGTGGGCTGCCCTGGATTTTCTGCTTCTGAGTTCCCATGACCCACCTTCCCCTCCTGGGTGTAGGCCAAAGCAGGACCTATCTTTGAGTAAAGGGAGTGCCCTCAGCTGGTCCCAAGACTGGGGAACGGAGGGGAAAGCAGGAATTTCATCAGCACAAGGTCAATGCAAAACCAGTTAAGATTCACCTGGAAACTTATCTTCAGGATAAAGGATGGTGCCGTGACAATGAGTCTAGGGTTATGACAGTCCAGACATGTCTGCCTCTTGGGTCCTTGGATC